TAGTAATTTCATTAAATCTATACTTATCTTCCTCCTTGCATATACCGGATTCTCTTGTTAGAGCCGGGATCACCCATATCGTCGCTTGCTAATGTATCACTGCTTAGCTGTCTTTTCGATCTGTTGACCTACTGTCAACTTGAATACATATCTCTACCTGTCTTTTTGGGAGACGTTATTTATAACAACGTATTTATTTTTAAAGATTTCCCAACGATGCCTTTTCTTAGATCTCAATGAATTTTTCAAAAAACTTAAGAGAGATAGCTTGAAAGCTCGTATAATACGTATATATAGTGATGTTGTTCAAATTTCAAATCATCTCGAAATTAGATTAATTCAAGGAGGTGCACTATGTATTATTGCTAGAAAATTAGAGATAAAGAAGGATGCTAAAGTAACTTTTTATTATGGCCACGATACTTTAAAATTTATAATATATTCAAGAGATATTCCATCTGAATTCAAGGTCAATGTCGTGCATCATCAATCTTCAACCATTCAAAATCAAACTGTAAAAGAAATGGATCTAGCTTATGATATCGATTCTAATGTTGGCGCAAACCTAACGTTAGTCGGTGACAAATCTCCATACTTTGAACATATAAGTAATGTTGATGATACAGTTATTCAACAAGACAACGACTGTCATAAGTTACTTAGGATTCAATTTCAGATTGCGGTTTCTTTATTATATGATTCACCAAATATTTCTAGTTCAATTTTTAAATGGATTTGTGCGATGTCGGTAAACTCAATTATTGTGAAAGATTTATATATTCAGTCAATGACTTTATTAGTTAACCTTAGCCTCAGGACAAAAGAAAATAAAACTGATTCAAATATATTACCAATTCTTAGTCCTGAAAAGTATAAAAATGTCGCAAAAGCACTAATAAAATCTGCAGAAGCTTATGAAGAACAATATAATAAATTTTGTGAACGAAATTCTGGTTTGAAAGAAACAGCAGAAAGAATGTTAAAGCATTATAGAGAAACAAAACATATCCAAGATGAACTCTTGGGCTACACTAAAGATCAATACGAATGTATATTGAAAGCTGAAAAGTCGTTAAACCAGAGTTTGATGGTAATTAAAATCAATTTGATATTTTAAATGATCTTTTTTATTTACACAATTCAATCACTTTTATACTAGAAATATGACAAGGAAATTAAAACAGCCGCAAGCACCTTTGAAAGTGGCGTTCAAAAATGGAAACATGATAAAGTATTAGAAATAATGATACAAGGCACTACATGCCTTATCTCATTAGCTTCTAACTGTGGTACCCCTGTAGATTATGTAAAGTCAATAAACGTTACTGTAGACGAAATAATGATGCTAAATGAGTCGTTAGATAATATAAAGATTTTAATTGAGAGTTTGAAGAACAGCAATGAGATTTCCGAAAATTATGAAACCTTTAAAAAAACTGTGCTTAGCATCAATGACGATAAACCTTATAAAATCAAACCAAATGCTATTTGGGATGAATTCCTAGTTAATATTGAAGGCTTGCTTGAAACGGTAGGTTGATCCAACGAATTACCTATCAGCTATTGTTTATTATTTTGTTAACATCAATATGTAATCATTTATTAGTCAGTTGAGCTAAAAGTTGCTGGAGCAAAACAGTTTTTAATTGCATTCAAGCAATTTGCACTTCACGGAAAAGCCTATACAGAAAGCAAAATTGAAGCTATCTATGCTCTGCAAAATCTTACGTATTTGCAAATACAAAAGGCTTATATTGATGCTAATGAAAAACAACAGCTTGAGCTAATTAAAAGTTATGAATCTAATAATTATCCAAATATTGAGTTGGCACTTCCATGGTTTGAGAAACTCATGAGCATCAAATGCTGGATCGTCGTTATTCTTCAAAATTATATTTGGGCATATAAGTTTGGTCACTATCTGATTCAAAGGTTAAACTTTCTAAACTCAAACCTATCATAGAATATAGAAATGATCAAGCAACTATAGAGCATGAATTGGCAGACGCTTTAACTAATAGATTTAGAAATCCTCCACAAAATTTAACCCTTAAAATAATTTGGGATCAACAGGATGAACTCTGCAAAACAATTATATCAGAACTTATAGAAAACAAGACTACGACATTCGAAATTAAACAAGATACTATAAAAGAATTTAGAGGCCTTGACCGTATTCGAATTACTGCATTTAGAGTATTTCTTAAAGGAATCAAACCACAAGAAGTTCATCTTAAAATTGTCAATAATGGAATTTATGAAGACAGATACGATGGAGAAATCTTTAGATTTATTTCAGAACCTCTAATAAGATTATTCAGATATCACGATGATGGAAGAATAATAGTGGATTCCACATTAGATGAAAATTTTAAGAATAATTATTATGTCCCCACTCCATTTAGTAAATGGACGATATCTATTGAAGATGTTAATGAACATCCCTGTGACTTGGAAGGTTTAATTTCCATAGAAATTAATTTTGAAGGAAGCTTTGTATACAGCCAAAAATAATATTTCGTCAAAAATGCATTCGAATTAAAATTGCTCAAAACTTACTAATATATTATTTGCATTACTTACATTCAAGTAAGATATTTCAGGAGGGGTTCTTGCAAATACTAAATGAAGGATTAGCATTACAATAATAGTTTCATATTAGATCTTTAACTTTAGCATAGACCTCTAACCTAAATTTTATCATTGTTAAAAAATCTATATAATTATAATAATTATTATTCTGTATTATATTTTATTCAATAAATAATAATTAATTAAATTTATTACTTAATTAAAATATGTATATATATTTTCATTAATTAAATTAATTTAATTCAAATACTATTGGAAATTAAATTAGATTCTAATGTAAAGCACATTTAAAAGCTCTACTTATAAGAAAACATGCTTCAAAACAATGTCTATAATTATATAACCAATCTATACTCCAAACCTACTTGTGCAAAGTTTATTTTTAATAATCTATCATTTACACCATGAGCCTATTACCAAACTCACCAAATGTTCTTTGAATTAATCGGTATATCTGATATTTAAGCACTCATTTCGTGAAATCATTTCATATCCAAACTTGGGATATTTAACGAATATCTGAATATACTATTATTCATTAAACCAGGCCTCTAGTGTTAATCACCATCCTCTGATAGAATAACAAACGAAGCTTTCTTTACATATTTTGTATCATAGAATCAAAATCGACAATTTCAACAGTCACTAATTCTCTATATTCCTTACCCACTAGTTTCCATTTTTCTTTTGCGGTTCTAACATGCGTCGGTCTTGCAAAAGAAGGACATTCTTTTCCTGCACAATTCAATTGTTTCTCTAATGACGTAAGATCCGTTGAAAAATTAATCCAAGCACCTTTATTTTTTGATTATAGTTAATATATATATATATATATATATATAAGAATGAATTGATGTCAATCATGATACACTTACGTTCTAAATTTCTTACGACAACTATTGCAGTATGGACCCCTTTTGAAAGTTTATTCGTATCACCAGCTAGTTGGTCTAACACAGTAACTAGTTTCCTTTTTTGTCAACCGTCTCTTTATCATTTCTTGCTCTTTTTTGATTGAATGGCACAACAACCCATCCAAAAGGGGATTAAGCACTAGAAAAATTTATAAGAACTTTTTAAATGTACATTACATATACATAAACAACACTCACCGTATTTAATATTTTTTCTGGCATTCATCCACCCTCTCCTATGCACTTCATTTTCGTGATCAATAGTTCTCCTAGAATTTTCATCCGATATCTCCTTAAGTTCTTTGTCATTATCGCTAAATAATTGTTTCAATTCATTTGATAGAGGCTTTAACAATTGTATCCAATATCATCATGAAATTTTTGTAAATCATCAGCAACTTTCTTAGCTTTTTCAGCACATGTAACAGCATCTTTTATTTGCACATTCAACCAATAACAAAATTGAGATTTATATTCACTAAATGCTATCATATTGCTCTTTTCTACTTGAATCATTTTTTCAGCAATATTAATCATGTCATCATAAGTAGATTGTATATCTTGGAACTTATTAAATATATCTCCAATTAATTGAACCATTTCAACCCAAGGCTTTCCTCTAAAATCACTACAATATTTTTTAATTTCTTTAAAACATGTAACTAGTTTTTCAAAAGTATTTTCTTTTGCAGTCCATAAATCACAATCTACATTATACCGAGTTTTTAAATCTTCTTCATTATCTGAAATGTAAACACACCCAAGATGAAGATATAATTGGAGGTCAGTAATGCTTGGTTTTTGTAAAAGTTCAATGGTTTCGTTAATATTTATACGAGGAGCTAATGGACTGTTAGCAGAATCATCGTCTGAATAAGATGAACTACTATCGCCCTGGTTAGAATGAATTGACATGATTTGTCCGGTGAATTGCTCGAACGAATTATGTATCACATCCAAAATATTTAAATATAGGCATTTTAAAAAATATTATGTTTGTAAATACAAATCTCACAAGACTATAAACAAACATAATACAATTTCACAAACAGACTAATTCGTTAACCATACAAATTACTAAATTTGTTTATCAAACTCAAAATATAGCACAGTATAATCGACAAATCCACGAGGGTAATGATACGTAAATTGATCAATGCAATAGTTTAACAATTATCGATTTAATTGGATTGTAATTGAAGTCCGAAACCTCGAAATCAGCATAGAAGTTTCTCCGTATTGACGATCTTCAAATATATAGATATGCTTAAAGCCTTGTATTAAAATTCAGGTGACCAATATAAAATATTACAAGGCTTTAGTGCTCTCCAAATATAGCACATTATTTACTTGAAGTCTTCTTGATCACACGTAGCACCAATAATCATTGATCGAAAGTGGAATGCAGATCGATGGCGCTGTTTGTGATTAAGCAGAATATTAGGAAAATGAAAATATAGATTTTTTAGAGTGCAGCTGATTTATAGATAAAATTTTGATTTTGTGAGATTATTTGAACTCGCACAACGTTTAAAGGTCATTTATATTTATCATATAGTATACCATATGTTGGGATAGAGAATCTGATTTGTTAATAACACATAAAGCATTAAGAAAGTTCATTAATACTTGAATAATGTCTTTAGATATAAAACTTACTAATGTTTGTACAGTACATGCGTAATGGATGCTGTATCAGTATGGTTATTAAGAGAAACTTTTTGAACTTCGTACTTCTTCGTGTGACATAAATAAAAAACAAACCTGATTTAAAAGTGTCTAATTTTATTTTACACTAACGAGTTTATTGTCTTAAACTGTCACTAAAATGAATATCGAAACAATACCTGTGGAAATTATTCACAAAGTTTTCAAAGTTTTATATGAAGAAGCTTTGCTAACAGGTTCTTTTCGTTATTTATACTCATGCATTACTGTCTCAAGAACATGGTGTACCAGTGCAATCCCAATTCTTTGGTCAGCTTTTAAATCTTCAAAGTATTCCATAATTCAAACTTTAGTTTCATGCCTTAATGCAAATAGAGAACGATATAATGAACTCGATAACATAATTTTAATATTACAACACGATGCTAAACCAACTTTATTTAACTATCCATCTTTTGTAAAAATAATTGATCATTATGAACTCAATTCTGCTGTATATAATTGGAGTAATGTGAATCACTATGAACAATATGGAGATGCAGTATTATATTATATGTTGAAATCATTCAAAGATAATAGCGCTAGACTGGAAACTTTGAAGATTGAAAATGTTAATGATTGGATTCCTTTAAAAAATGGATTTATGATGTTCGTAAAACCGGAATTTTCTATATGGTTATCTAATTTAAAGGAACTTGTTGTTGAATTATCTAATGAAGAAGATACGTTTCTGGAATTGTTAACAAATCATTGCCAGAATTTGGTATGTATTTGATTTTTTAAAATAAACAATATGAAGTAATTTAACCCATATGAAATCTGTGCTTCATGAACCAAAATACTACATGTTTTTGAAGACGCCATTTGAATGATACATATATTTGTCTATATTTTTATAATTCCAAGATTAGGCTGTTTGAAATTACAATTTCGTTTAACGTTCTCCCCCACTTCCAAGAGCTACCCCTAAAATTAAACAGGCCAATCAGAACGTTCATTATGCCAATAAGTCACGTGCTTATAAGCCAACCAATAATAATGTGATTATTTTTGCGATATAACATATTTGTTTAAATTGATACCCCTCCCCACTGCGCTTAAGCTGCAAAAGGAAACGCTAAACGATATTATAATTTCAAACGGCCTTACTTAACGACTAGTTTTTTTTTTAATTTTTCTTACTCAGCGTACTGAGTTCTTATTTTATGTTTTTTTTTAAAAAATCTTATTACTTATTACTCAGAGGAATATAAAAATAAGGTTCTATGATCAAATCATTCCGGAGCATTCAGCATCAAAAAATATACAAAACATTTACACTTTAATATCAAAGCAAAAGGGCTTAAAATCTTTGAAAATCTCATTTTGTAAATTATCTGTCCAAACAATAATTCGAGCCATGCTGAGTCAAGCCAATACATTACAAGAAGTGGAATTTTGGATCATAGATTTCTCAAAGTGTGATGAGATTGGAGGACTGGTTGCATGTAAAAATTTAAAAGGTTTGGTGTTCGAACATTGCAGAAATCTTAGCTCTGAATGTTTTAAGTCATTGGTTTTTGTAAAATTTCAAAAGCTAAAAAGTGATGAGGTCGTTGAAACGAAGTGTGATGCCCTAATTACATGGAGCAAAAATTTTGTAAATGGGTGAACTCATTTTTATTATGTACGTATATTTTTCTTACTGTATTACATCGATAAGCTTCTTATAAGAAAAACTATACAGTTCACTCTCGTTATAACGGACTCCGTTATAGCGGATACCTCGTTATAACAGAGTAATTCTCTGGAACATTTAAAATTATTATTATTATACTATATAACGCTATAGCGGAAATTCATTATAACGGACAGAATTTCTCAGCTACGTTATAACGAAGGTGAGCTGTACTTAGCATAGCTAGCATAAGTGTAATAAAACTGACTAGCAAGTCAAATTGTTTATAATATAAATTTAATGTTCTAGTATATAAAAAAATCGCCAAAAGAAAAATCAATATCTTGTATTATTATTATCATCATCGATTTTTGAAAAATGAGCACATTCTAAATTCAATCTATCAAAAATTTTATTCTTGAGAGTTGCATTTAGGAATAATAAGAAAAATTGCATATGTATATATTTGGGCCAAAGTTAAAGGCTGCATCTAAAGAGGCATCACATTTATGGGAATTGCATTTAGAGAGGCGTGACTGTTTAATAAGTTGTCGAATTTTCAAAATAATTATCACTAATAATCATTTAATATATACCTTACACTATGTTTATGATTGAACTAATTAGTGATACTTATGAATATTAACCTTTTTTTATTCACCATTATCTTTTGAAATTTTAAAAAATTGTATTAGAGTTGGTAAAAAAGATTTAAAAACGAGGAGTTTGGCAAAATTACACTAACCTAGTAAACCACTAGTATTATTTGGAAGTTCAAGGCTCGAACTCGCAAACTGCTCCACAATTGAGCAATTAAAATTCGTAGGAACTAATAGAGTCAATTATTGATTAGTTACAAAATAATAACGAGGTAAAATATTTTCAGTTCTATTAATACCTTTAAGGCTTTTTATTATTTCTTGCACATCAATTAATGTGCTACAATACTTGTTTTGAAGCTTTGATATTGTGGCTTGTTTAATCATGCTGTCAGCATTGATAAACTTATTTTTTAAATCAAGTTCTTCATCCGTTAAATTTTTTGATTCTACAATTGTTTTCCATTGAACAATTTTCGAATGAATATATTTAGCAGTAGGTCGCTTTTGTGGATCAGAATCTATGCATTGTTTGGCTAATTCAATATAACAATCAGGAGTTCCGGAAGCGAATTCTGGTCGCAATCCGTCGCAAATGGCAAATGCGAGGTCAATATTAAGTTTCCACGTATCATAAGGCCTTTTTCCAGTTGACAATTCTGCCATGATAACACCTAAACCATAAATATCAGCCTCTTGTGTATTCTGATAACCCTTAAGAATTTCTGGAGCCACATATGGCATGACTCCATAAACTACGTTTGAACCGTGTTCATCTTGTTTTCTAGATAATCCTAGATCTGTAATGTATGAAATTATATTTCCATCGATATTTTGATTTAATAAAATATTACCACTATGAAAGTCACTGTGAATAAGTCCTGCTTTATGAATTCTAAATAAATTATAAGTTATATCCGCAAGTTGCTTTAATTTTTTTTGCCATGTAAGTGCTATAAAATTTTGTGCTAAAAAATCAAAAAGATTTCCTCTATTAGCATATTGATATACCATCATATATTGGCCAGTTTCTGTATTCCGTGTCAACCCATATATTTCAAGTTCACCACCCTCTAATCTACATTTCATGTGATTTTTAAGCTTGAAAACATTTAGAAAAAAAAAGCATTATATAGTTATATTGACATCAATATGTAATAAATTTATAAAGTAATTTAGCTTACCTCAGTTAAAAAACTGGTGGAGTTCGTTTGAGAGCCAGGCAATGTTTTAAGAGCGACCATACAAGATTTGTTACGAAATCGTACATAACCCACATTGCTATCACCTTCTATCATTCGTTTACCATCTAACCAAATTGACGAATAGACTGTACCAAACCCTCCTTTACCAATAATTTTTATATCTATTAGTCTGTCAAATGGAATCCATTCAATCACTTTTTCGTATTCCGTAGCTTTAAGTTGATAATCCTTGATGCAATCATCAATGTTCTTATCGCTACTTCTTATTTCTTGGGCTATTTTCGGAGGATCACATAATTGACACCACGCCGGAGAAGTGTTATATCGTTTACAATATTCACACGTTCCATTTATGGGTTTTCTTTTGTTGTAGTAAAAATCAAATACAATCATATATTGTCCGGTTTCAGTACTTTGAGTTAGTCCATGTATTCTATATTTCTCGAATTGCGCATCGATATGGTATTTAAGCTGTCAAAAAATATTTATTCGCTAATTAAGCTGGATCGCATTATTTAGGAAATGAGCTAGTTAACAAAAAATGATTTTAACTTACAACATCAGAAACGCTTGTTTGAGAACAGTGCAATTTCATGAGGTCAACGTAAGATATGGTGCGTGATTGTGTATAGTTCCCAGATACACTTTTAATTGTTCGTATACCATTCAACCATGATGCAATGAATATTAAACTATGTTCTTTAACTTCTAGATCTGATTCTTCTTTAACTTTTTGATCCGATTCTTTGGTTTCTTGATCTGATTTTTTAATTTCTTGCAAATTAATTAGTCTGTCATATGGAATCCACTCAATTACTTTATCATATTCTGTAGCTTTGATCTGGAATTCTCCGATGAAATTATCAATATCTTCGTTTCCACTTGTCCATTTTCCAAGGGTCACATGATTGGCACCAAGCAGGCGAAGTGTTGTTATGTTTACAGTATGCACATTTTCCACTTGAGGCATTTCTTTTAATACTAAACTCATCTGGTGTCACCATAATGTATTGATTTGTCGTAATATCTTTGGTAATTCCATATACAATATTCCCTTCCAGCTGCATATAGTTTGTAAGCTTGAGATTTTATGTGTTAATAGTATTATAATGTCGATATGTTAATATGCAATAGGTTTATAAACATAATTTAGCTTACTTTTTCTATAAAACAATCAAATGTTTGAGAGCCATGCAGTATTTTAAGGTTAACGCCATATGATCCAATGCGAGACCGTGCATATTCTAAAAGTTCACCCTTAATTATTCTTATACCATCTAACCAGGTCGCCATAAATATCGTTTCTGATTCATTTTCTCTGACCTTTTGTAAATTAATTAGTCTATTAAACGGAATCCATTCAAACATTTTTTCATATTCCGTAGCTTTGATTTGAAATCCTCTTATATATTCATCAACATTTTTATTTCCACTGGTCCACCCTTTAGTTGCTTCTAGAGGATCACAAAATTGACACCAAGTTGGAGAAGTGTAAGGTCGTTTGCATTTTGCGCATTTTCCGTAAAAATTCCATCTTTATGAAATGTAATTATTAATTTCTTTGATCATATTTGGTTTTTAAACAAAAGGATAAAGCACATAAATAGTATATTACCTTTTCAATTAATCGATTAAAGTTATGAATAAATGACGAATGCTTATTTAATAGTGACTTTATAAATTACAGTATTATTAACCATTTTCCTACTTACTTACTATTTAGCATAATTAAAAGTAATGTTAAACAATGAACGTTTATGAGCGTTTATTCTATAAATAAAATTTTATACTCACAAACTGATAATTTCCATGAATTAAGAAGAAACATATTTAATGGTATTTTCTTAAGAACTGATTTTACAAATGAATTCGATACTTACTCTCTTTAACGTGTATTGATAACAAAACGTCAGAGAGATAATATTTATAAATAATAAACCGTTAGAAAGATAATACAATTAAAAAAAAAACAAAAAAAAACAATAGAATTAACACTAACCGTCTAACGAATTTGTTTGATCAAAACGATTAATGGTATTACATATTAAAATAAAACCAAATAAAATTATACTCACCGGCTAAGAATTAAAGTTATTTTTTTGCTCACATAATTAAAAATTGGCATGAAAATCTTAAGGCAAGATGTGGCAAGCAAAAGGGATAGAATAATATTATTTTTAATATAGGAAGAATTATATGACTATTATATAATATTAAGCGTGACATTAAACAGAAAAATAGTTAATTATATGCGTAACCAGCGTTCTTATTTAGATTTCCTTACTCACGACAAAGTAATTTCATAACGATAATAAATTTACTCACCGTTAAGATAATAATAATCAGTGGAATGTTTCTAAGAAAAATATCATTAACCACTCCCCACATAATCACAGCACCCAACGTATGCTTAAATATATTAAATATATTAAATATATTGATTCGATCGTATCGATATAATTTTTTTGTAAAAATAGTTAAATCTTTCAAAATCGTCAAATATTCATAATCAGTTGTTGCTAAAATAATGTAAACAATCACTAGAGCTTTATATTCATTAACCCATTTTTTAAAAATTTTTCCAATAGTAGGATCATTAATTCCTTTGAAAATAGCAGCGATTGCTATTATGAAGTTCATGATCAATGGGTAAACCAAAAAGATAAAAAAGAATTGCCTTCAAATCATGATTTGTTTTTTTTTGAAGAGTTAAAAGATATAGGTGACAATAATTTAATATTATTAATTTAACGCTATCAAGGATAAATTTATTTATTAGAAATACCTTGCTGATTCAGACACCGGTACATTATTGAAATTATCAATAAAAAGAATTGAAAGAATAAAATTGGGGATAATTAATCCAAGTTTTAATGCCACAGAGCTTATTGCTTCAAATTTTTTAGATTTTAACTTTTTTAAATAAGAGCTTTGTTAGCACTTCTGATGATCCTAAGAAAAAATTCGGTAAATAAATTCACCTTATAACTAAATATAGAATATAACAAACGGAGCATTATAAAAGCCATGATCACGATGATTATTAATGCGCTGTAGTCCTTCCCTATATGAAAGTTATAGATATTATTATAAAATGTTTCATGAAAAAAAAAACACAAAGTAATTCTTACAAGTTTGAGTTTGAAATCCGTAAGCTCTATCTAAGAACTTTGTAGCATTTCCCGTTGATATACCCGTATATACTTTATTTCCTATTAACCGGTGTAAAAAATCCTTTATTTCTGTGGCAGTCAATTTTTCACCAACTTTTGCCTTACTAATGAATAGTGGGATGAGAATTCTCGGGAGTGTTCTAAATTTATAATCCTCATATAATTGAGAAGATTGATGACAATCATCTGTATAAAAAACATTTGTTTGATAAGACCTATTTAATTGATGATACTCATTTGATTCTAATCTGCCCTTCTCTGCAGGAATCATAAGTGTGAGCTCTTCTATTAGCGTGTTTGAGAAGTTTTTTTTTTCTAAGTCACTCAAAGTTTGAAAATAAAAAGTCCCATTAATTGTTAATTGTAGCATTCCTTGAATATCTCCTAACTTATTTATAGGTTTTGAGTTAATATTAAGCATATCGATATATGAAATATGAATAAATTTATAGAAAATTTTAAATTACGTTGTCAACATAAGACGCGCGTGATGTATCATTAGCTATTTGCATTAACAGTTAATTGAAGAAATTCATATTAATAAGTAATTTTAAATAACAAAGAACTATATAATATATACCCGTTTGAAAACTCTACACATCTGGACCATTTTTCAGTTGGGGTTTGTCATGTTCGCTGTATACAAAACCATAATCCATCTTTAAAAAATATTGTCCAAGTGGATCATTAAATGTGTAATTAGGTACTTTAAGTACGATGACTTCTTCTGAAGAAGAACATCCACAACAATTATTTCCATTAATAATCTGTCGAGTAATATTGGTTTGGTTAATCGTTTGATAAATGGTTAAATTGGAATTGGCACCCAAGTACACGAGGTCATCGAATGTGATGTTGATTATAGTGGCATACAAAGATATAATGTCATTTTTTGGAGGGTACATTGCCCTTACTTGTAAATTTCTAACTATAAGAGACAATCATAATTATTATTTAAATTAAAAAAAAAATCATTTTCATACTATGTATTAAGTTTAAAAACATTTATTATTACGTGGCAACAGATCGAATAAAAAATATTTCCAAGAAGTTGCCGTTCCATTTAGAGCCATTAAAATCGTATTATTTTGTAAAACATCAAACGCGCCATCAAAATTCGCAATAATTTGGTTCAATAAAGAGTTGTAAATAACGGATAACTTATCATCTTCATCGTAAAGATCAAAGGTGAAATTTATATTTTGTCCATAATATGCTCTATTTATTACTGCGTATCCTCTGTTAGGTATTATTTTAACATTCGTTACTAAAGACCCATTGTTGACTGGTAACATTGGATCCAGCGATACTGTAGTTTCAGAAGATGTAGTTCCAGAAGAAGGCAACCGTATTCTCACATAAAAGTTGTCTGAAGTGGTAGTTGCATTAATGTTTGTAGTCGGTGTACGTACTACTGATGCAATACATAATTGGCCAGAGTCGACAGAACAAGATAATCCAGTGAACGTTAGGTCTTTAGTTGGCAATTCATATAAAACCATTTTTTGAGGTGCTTTTGTATACATGTAATTCAACATTATTGCATATATTCCTATAAATTGAGCGGCTAATGCATTGTTAGTCTTAATGGTCGTGTTAGTGTATATAATCGCATATTCGCCGTTAGTTACAAGTAAGGAAACCTGAAAGCTAGTTAAATTATAGATTTTATCACTCTGTAACAATAATAAATTGAAGTTTTCTATACTGTCACTGCTAAAAGGAAAATAAATTTAAATCTTGTACGTGTGTTGTGTATGTAAGTAAAAATACGAGAACGCAACATACTATGCATACTGCCTCCATTCGAAATCATTTGTTCCACTAACCGCGGATAAACGCAAAAGTCCCATTTTGGAAGCACCAATATTTTTTACTATGAGTTCATATGGTATCCAATTATTTGTGCCTGGGGACAAATACGATGGCCCAAAATCGAGCGTACTATCATATAATATGTATTCAATTATCGTTATTGTAACTTTTGAATTTATACCGTTATAATGGTATATGATATTAACAAACCTTATGTTTTTCCCACTCCAATCTAAAATAACACCTCTATCCCTAAAAGTTGTATTATCAGAGGTATTAGCTGCATGAGTGTATGTTACTAGAATGTATTGGTTAAATAATGGGTATATTTTTATAGGATTATAACCATTAACAATACAATAATTGATATCTTGTATTTCATCATCAGTATCGTTATACTTTATTTCGATAACACTTCCATTATTTTGAATAACACGAAGTAATAACCTCTGTTCATAACAGTAATTATTGGTGAAGTTATTAAAGTAATTCACCCGACCAATGCGAACAACTGTTGCATTATAATCGTAAATCGAATCATGATAACCATAATAACCATCGTAATGCGAAATACTTAAAATGTGAGGTTGGGTTTTGGTAAGATTAGGCTGAACTGATAATTCTGAATAGACAAAGGTTGAATTTTTTAAATCAGGAAGTGCAAATCCAGTTGGTAAAGTTAACAGGAAAATGGTAATAACCATTAATCTCAAATTATGCGATTGATTTTTCATATCAGTCAGAGAGATAAAAGAATATCAAGAATCATTAATGGTAATTAAAGAAATTTTTAAAAGAGCACTTACACAAAATATGGTAACACTTTCATATGTACATTTAAAGAGGATATAAAACAATAATTGAAAATAGATTGTTACATATAGATGTAGTAACATTTCCATAAGCGCAAGCCCTAGGGACCAAGTATACATGTATTCCCTTAGAATTGGCATATATGTATGCTTAGAGAGCGTGTTCATAATCAGAATTAGGCAAATTATGGAATTTTCAAATTCTTTACATAAACTACGTAGCCGCATGAAATACGCATGGTCTATAAGAAGGATAACTTGAGCTGACATTATTTAAGCTAACCCGAATTATAAAGACATTATTTAATCACACATAGGCTCTCAAATTTCTGCGTACTGCCACGAGGAGAAATTTAGATTATCTCTTATAGGTATCCAATAATCGATATCACATGGTACAAAACTCGCGAAAAACCATTTTAATATTTTATGTTTCTCTCTCCAGAGATGCGATTATGATAAATCAATAATCAAGGAATTCGTATTAATTAAATCATTAGAAAGATAATCACCATCTCTTAGTACACAATTGTGGTATCGTTCCTTTAGAACACTAACATTGTTAATTTTTCAATCATTAAATCTTATTCTGTGTGATAAATAAAAGAACTGTGCGTAATTAAAAAACGAATATTCGGTTACATAACAGTATTCAAAAAAGGAATTTGGCAATGATTACTAACGCTAACATTGTTAAAATTTCCTTATTCGAAAAGGAACACACGCACATGATCTGATTGTTAATATTAAACTTTATTATTAAGAGACATGCAGCATACATCAGTGCAATTGATGTATAATTGAACTAGTGACTTGTGGCGTAAGCCGGTGGTTTCTCACCCGCATAAAGCAGGTCTGCTGTTGACGAGGTTTGCGGGAAAACTAGCAGTGCATAGCACTGGCCGGTGGTTTCCCACCTGCATAACGCAGGCCAACCGTAAGTGTGAAAGATTTGCAAAATTTCGGACTTCTACCGCGGGAGGGTAGGGAAAGTACGAATATGATTTGTTTTTTCGTAGGGCTGCAGTTGGGCTGCCCTCATAAGCACGGCATTTACCGTATTTATCGAACGTGGGTACCTCCATGGCATGTAACCTCTACCAATTTTAAGAGCTGGACGGTGATTTATACCCGGGTACATAAGTATAGTAAATATAGTAAAATATATTGTTCAATATAGTGTAGAAGTACCCGGGTACAAGGATTGAGATATGTAAATCCCGGGTGCCACGTTCGATAAATACGGTATATTAGCCTGTGTTCTTGCTCTGCCCTGGCGAATTTGGTCATATTGGTATTTGCGCCATGATGTCTTGAATTAGTAATTCATTGATTTATACTTATCCGTACGTACGTACGAACGTTTCAGGGTTTCCCCGTTATCATCAAGACTTCAATGTGATTGTCAACGCGCGCAGATCAGCGCTTAAATTGCCTTTTTGATCTGTTGACCTTACCGTCAAACTCGAATTTGAGATAGTTGTGCGTAACTGTTTAATCAGGCGCACTATTTTAATTTTTATGTCAAATTTGATTCTGTGCACTGCACTCAAATCGCACAGCAAAAAATAATAACATTGCACAATTGGATAGCGTAATTATTACGAACTACCCAACAACACCACCAAAAAATTTTCGGTTACATGAAATTTTGACCAATAGAAATAACTACACATAATGTAGATCACTACATAAATTTTAATTTTTTTACAACTTTTAAACAACGATATCTTGACAACCGCCAAATAAAATTCGATAATATTTTTTATTTTGGTTCTACGAGTATGTTGAATCAAACAAAAAAAAAAGTCCATCGAATTTGGTTTAGCGGTTGTCGAGATATCTTCATTTATCGCTATTTGCAAATTTTATTTTTGATAAAATTTGTAGATCACTGCATGCCCGATTGTCCGATTGCAATCGACTATACGTGATTGTTGCGATTTCTCAGTTGTTTTATCTCTCATTTCTGTGACTTACTATGGAAATACATTTGGGTGTTCCCTTCTACTAATTGAGCAACTTACGCAACCTTTTTAGTATCGTTCACATTTTCTCTTTTTTCTTTTCTTTTGACTGTCGTCCCGACCGGTCATAAAGTGCAATAAAAATTAGTACAAATTACTGTCGTCCCAACAGGTCATAGAACCATAGAATGCATTAGAACTTATACAAATGACTGTCGTCCCGGCAAACCATATGTTTAGAATGATCACATCAACCCTAGTTCCTCGTCCAGTAGAGATGGGCACGCGCGTGATCCGCGCATGATCCCGCGCGTGATCCCGCGCATCACGCGCGGGATTTTTAATATAAAATTATCTGGCCGGCATTACCATATAATTTGACTGGCATTAATATAATATCTGGCCTGCTTTAACATATTCACCGTAAATTCTCGAAATGTCGAAATTTGACCCGAATTAAGCTTAATTTGGGCCGAAATTCGAAACAATGCCCACCGGTAGTACAATAAATTTGATTTTTTCTTTGTTTTGTCTCTCATTTCTGGAGTCATACTATGGAAATACATACGGGTGTTTCCTTCTGCTAATCGAGCAACTTTGCAACCTTTTAAGTATCGATTACGTTTCTATTTCCTATGACTGTTATCTTAACAGGTCATAAAATGCAATGGAAAATAGTACAAATGACTGTCATCTAACAGGTTATAGAACCATAGAAAGCATCAGAACTACACAAATGACTGTCGTCCCGACAGGCCAAATGCTTAGAACAAATACATCAAACCTAGCCCTCATATGACTGTCGTCCCGACAGGCTATATGCTCAGAACCATTTCATCAACTCTAGCCCTCACATGACTGTCGTCCCGACAGGCCATATGCTTAGAACAGTTACATCACCCTGGCCCCCACATGACTGTCGTCCTGACAGGCCATTCTGGAAAAAACTTACTGGGCAGGGCGGGAGGGTCGATGTAACCAGAACGAATATCGGGTTCGCAGAAGAAACAAACCTATTTCTCCCACATACCTTATTAATTACTAATATACCCACACACTAACTCATTACCTCATACTTACCCAACTAACTATTTCAACTTCTCA